ACTTATAATGTGCTTTTCTACTGAAATAACAAAAATACACAGGCAACAGTGTGACCTGATAAACTCTGCATCCTGTAGTTTGTGCTTGTTAAATTACTAATCAGTTAAAATGTGAGTAAGGATCACATCTTTACATTACAAAGAAATGCTAACCTTTTCAGCTGCAGATAGCTGATCCTGAACCTTAAGCAAGTCATGTTTTGTTGTCACCAAGTCCTCTTCCAAGAATTTTTGGTTTGCAGTAGTATCATTCAAAGTCTTCTCAAACTGGGCTTTCAAAGCTGCCACTTTATTCTCCAGTTCAGTGATATCCTGGTTTGCATTAGTCTTCAATGGAAGAAATATTTAAAATATGCCAAATGCAAGAGAAGAAATATTTTAAATTTCAAGTGCAAAAATCCACACAAAGTAGGTACATCTTAATTTTTAATAATTATGTTCACATTATTCCTTTAAAGCCTAAATTAGTGTTTTAACTGAAAACAATGTTACCACAGTGGCTGACTTATAACTTTAAAACATTTTTAATAACTGCATTTTAAAGATGTTTGGAATGTCTTCTGCCAAGTTGAGATTTCAAGTTCTTGTACTTCGCTTCTTTAGGAATTAGGTGCAGCCACAGGATAAAGCATATTATAAGAACGTATTTACCATACAGAAATAGTAAATTAACATTTAAGATCTGAGTGTCTACATTACAATGCATTTTTTGAAGCATTTCAAAAGCCCTTAGTGTAGCACAGGTAGGAAAGGCTGGAAGTGTTAAGGCTCATACTCCCAGTCAGATATGAATATTGCACTTACAATATGAATAGATGCCTTACACAGCTGCTTGTGAAACAACTTTCCTGTTTCCTTGCAAGAAGAAATAACTCAAAACTCTTCTGGACTTCAGTTCCAGGTAACAAAACATTATAATCATGTAACTGTTCTATGGATTTTTATCAAAAAATCAAAAACCAAACACAAAAACCCTCTCTGGTTTGAAAGCTCAGTTTCAAACTCACAAGTATAATGACTCAGGATGAGGCTGAACCAGTAGCACCTTAAAAAGAACAAAAAACTAAAACTAAGGAAGCTCTGTTCCTTCTTCTATGTGGAAGGTTTGAGAAGGTTTGAGAACAGGAATACACTTGACAATACAGAAGTATTGTATAGTACCTGTACAGAAGAAAAGCTTATTTTGAATTTTGAGCAGAGTCCAAGTCTGCAATGCTGGAAAGCACTACATTTTGTGTGTTTCAGATCAGAATAGACAGTTACCATTTTTCTAAACCATGACATAAGTCAATTTTGCAAAAATTCTAAATCCTCAAATCAAACTGTTCCAGTGGAGCAGTTACTCTCAAACGTGACTCAGACTTTGTGGGGTCATCTATTAACTACTAATTAAAGAAAAAAAAAATCTGCTGAGTTGGTCCTTAAGAACTGTTGTGGTTTGTCCAAAGAGTTTAAAAACTTCTGCTTTATGAGCAACTGGGTTTATATGATTTTACTGACACCCATCCTAAAAAATATGGAGTGAAATCACATAAAATTCCACATTTTCTCCAACAACTAATACTGATAATACTGTATTGCTTAAATCAAGAAGAACATTTTAGCACTATATCCACTACCTAGTTTCAACAACATATATATGTCTGTAAATAGAAAATGTAAGAGTTGGAGAAGAAAATGACAGATTATAGAGAGCAAATTAGGACAGGAAAGCTGAAGATAGTCAGTAGCCCTGACACTGAGGCCAATTCATTTTTAACCAGAAAAGCAGGATGAGATTTGGTTCCAATCTTTTAAAACTACAAACAGTATTATCCAGGATTTAATATACCCCCTTAATATTTTAAACCTTTAATAATTTAAGGCTTAACAAAACAGAGAAAGAAAATATTTGTCATGACTGATAAATCAAGTTCCCTATTAAATAATATTATTGAGTACAGATTTTGAAAGTTACTAAGTAAACTTATAACATATTAAGAGAGCCAAGTACATACCATAAACCATTTAGAAAGCAAAATAAAAAGAAATCAGAATTAAAATATGAAACATAAAATAGAAATGTTTTATGATACTGAACTTCACTTCGAATCTGTAAATACTGGAGGAATTTTAAAGTCAATTTCTCAAAATAATGGGATTAAAGTGTAATAATTTTGTTTCAAGTCTGAACAGAAATGTTTTAAATTTAAGAAACAATCACACATTACCAAACTTGAAAAAATACTAACTATTGACAAAATAAAGGTACAAACTTGAAAAAATACTAAGGTGACCTGAACAGACTTATCTGTTTCAACGTGACTTCAAGGCTTCTTATATTTTATTTCTGCAGCAGCAACTCACCATGTTTGAATCGTCATTTATAAAAAAGATTAAGAACCTCAAGAAGTAAAAATAAACAATGAACCATTTTTAACAGTATGCTGATATGTGTAGAACCACATAAAATCATATAAGCAGCAAGTTTGCTTGTCCATGTCGACATTAAGTGTGACAAATGCTTGAAAAATTTAGTGTTTTACTGTTGCTGTAAAACCAGGTTAGACATCCTTCTTTCAGCAGTAAACATCAAGAAATAAACTTCTGTCTGTTAATACAAATATCAACCCTGAGAATATGAATTCTGGAATACTACTTCCTGACAGTACCTAACAATAATTTATCGTGGTCTATGTGACACAAAATACATGTCATAATATCAACTAATATTATGGATTATCTGCTGACTGAAAGACCAGCAGGAACAGACAATGTCAGCAGGAATACAACAAAACTAACTTGAATTTTTGCATTTGCCAGAAAAGAAACACATCATACAGAACAACATTTTGGATGTATTGGCAACAGCTGTGTTAAACACGGTGGGGGGGATATCTTAACTGTATTTACCTTCTGATCTCCTTGGATCATCTGTAAATCCCTCAGTGACTTCTCTAGCTTGGACTTCTCATCTAGGGCAGCTGTAGCCTGCAATGCATTGAAAATTCAAAACCTCCGTAACATAAGATTAACAACCATGGGATTCTTACTCAGATATTTTTAAATATGTTAACAGCATTAAGTATCCAAGCTTACAGGGAATTTACCTGTGTTTCTATGGTCTTGAGTCTGGTCTTCAATTTTTCGTTTTCTTCTTGGAGACGAGCAACTGTCTTTGGGTTAACGAACAAGAAAAAGTTTGTGAACACTCTTGTGCTATTTTGAATTTTCCAAATATTTCAGGAAAGAAAATACACTTCATAACTTAGGAAAGCAAACAAGATCTTATAAATGCTTATAAAAAATGGCCTCCATAAGAAATCAGTAACTCATTGATATATTGTGTTTTCTGCCTCAGTCAGCAAGCAATTTAAGTCTCCAATTCTAGTGCAATGTATAGGACCATTCACCCAAATTTGGTACATGCTTTACTGAATTGAGATTATTGAGATCAGCACCTTCTTAGTATCAAGATCCATGATTAAACATTGTATGTTCAGAGATGCAAATTTCATTGCTGGTCATCATTTGTATTTTCAGTCAACAAAGAATTTATTCATAGTTCCTGTTTGAAGCAGACAAATACCAGGTTACTGCATATCATGTTCTCTGCCACAGGAAAAAACCATGCTTTATCAGCACAAATTTACCATATGAACTTTGAATTATTTTGGGGAAAAAAAGGGAAAAAGACATCAGATGTAAATATTCAACAAAAACTGTTATGAAACAGATTTTGAAATTATTTTTGATAGAGAACTACACTGATCTATAAGCAAAATAGAAGTCTGAAGTCTTGGATGCTTTAATTATTGTAATGAGTAAAAACAATTTGATTCAGAGGCTGTATTTGACAAATCATTTTGGTAGTGCAGGCCAGAAGACAGAAAACACAGCTCCTGGCTAATTATCTTGACTGCTCATGACTTAAAAGTGTACTGCAAGAAGTGTGGCATTTCAGAAAAGTTCAGTTGAACTAAGTACCATTCATAACATTAACTACCAGAAAGTGTTTCCTAATCCTGAAGATGTCTAGAAAGTGAGAAATCAGACATTTTCAAAGCCAGTAAATTCCAAGTTCCCTAAGTGCCTGTTTCTTCATGACGAATTTAGCCAACTTACTAAAAAAAAAAAATAAAAAGATTGGAAGCACTAAGATTGACTGAAAGGGACACAGAAAATGTTCAATAACCTAATCATTTCAGCCAGCTACATATTTTAATTTACTTCCTTGTTGAAAACCCAGCTAGCTGCATGGAACTAATTTACTAATTTACTCCATAAAATGAAAAAATAAACAATTTCAAAGGCCAAAATGTCTTTGCAAAGGAAGGATCAATATTGCAATACATGTTAGAGACCGTAACTGCACACTACGTGTCAGATGCTTTACAACATTTATTAATTCATTAGCATTTTCCTTTACATTCTGGGATATATTACCATGATGTCTATATAGTGACAGACACATTACAGAAATATTACTGTACAGCTATTCAGCTGCATAAACAGAATGGTCACTGACCACAACTGCATGAACAGACAAGTTCTTACCTTGTTTAGCAGCTCTGTCCCACCTTCATTTAATGGAGCCAGTTTTGGTTTAACGGGATCTGCAGTGGGCTAAAGAAATAATAATGGTGAAAAAATTAAATTATACAGATCTTTGGGAGGGAGAAAGGTACTCCTATAGTCTGTAAAATAATTATTAACAGTCAATCCGGCTTTCTTTTCTAAAATAAATGAATGACCTTTCATTTCATTTTTTACCGGTTCCTTGCCTCCTAAGTTATATGCTACACTTTGAGCTGAAGTTAAACAAAAATACTGAACAGAGATATAGAAGGATTACAAACTTGATTTTACAGAAGACTAACAATGCTGCAGCAACCAAAAGAGAAAGGAATATGGAAAACAGAAAAAATATTTGAGTGACTATAACAGTAAAAAATATTTACAATGCTATAAATTTTCTCCTTTTAAGCATCAAAAATAATATACATTAACTAAATATACCTTTACACTACAAACCAAGTAAGATGCAGCCATAATCATGCAAGATAAGCTAAAGTGATATCTTTACTTTGCAATCTTTTCAACTATGACTCCGTAGTGGGACATGCAAATGTCCCAGTCTTACCCCAGTTGCAAGGGGAAGGGAACTCACGAGCAGACGCTTTAACACATCCCTGGTCTGGCTGACCCTGGGCTGAGGTATATGAGACATGTCCTGGACATGCAGAACCTGCACTCTGGAAACAGCCAAGGCAATTCAGAGTGAGCCTTGGTGCCAAACTGCAAATGTGACTTTTTGGACACTTTCAAAGGCTGTTTCGAACAAAAGGGTGGTGTTTTGGCTTTGCTTTTCTCTCTTATGCACCGAGTCAGTACTAGGCATTCTAAACATTTGTTGCAACTCCACATGACATTTGATCAGTATTTGATTAAAATAAAACTCTACCTTTTTGTTCGAGGATGTAAATTCTGACTTTTCAAACTCAGCAACCTGTTCCAATAATTCTCTTGAAAAGAAAAATAAAGAGACATTCATTTACTGAAGAAAAATAAAGGAAGGCATTCATTTACTAAGAGCTATGCTATATAACACATTTTACCAGGCTGTGATGCAATGCTTTTTATTGCATGTAAGATTCTTATTAGAAGTACAAAATGAAGTCCTAAGCAAATACCATAAACACAACAGATCATGTCATGCAATGGTACGGTGTATGCATTAGAACTGTAAAATTCTTGATTCATCCTTGATTAAAATATCATCTAACCAGACAAAAGGTTTTTTTATTCAAATCCAATCACCTGCCCTTAATTCAAGTAAGGATATTACCATTAAAAACATCTTGCTGACAAGTTGAAATCATTTTTGTATCTTGCTACTTTACAGATGGAAACTTTGAAACTAGCCCCTCATTGATACAATAACAAACAAACAGGTTTCAAACAGGGTAGGAAAAGAATGCAAATAGTCAATACTTTGAAGTTTTCTTATTATTGAAAAGCACTCTGTACAGTCCAATAGTTACCGATTCTCCAAGTCAGAGACATCTGTCTGTAACTTAAGGTACCATTTCTCAGCCTGTGAAAAGAGCTGTCGCAGAAGTAAAACGTTGGTGTAAGTTGTATTTATGAGCTCTGACTCCACTTCACTGTGTACAACACTCTGCAGTCCATCCAGCATGTCTGTCACCTCATCAACCGTGAAGGTCTCTTCAACAAGTCTAAACAGAGGAGTTAAGACGAGTCATGTATAATAAAGGTAACAACTTCCCGTATTTATGAGATCTCACTACACAGGTACCACTCATATAATGCTAGACCCTTCTAAAAACATTCACTATCAGTAGTTATTAAGATGACCACAGGACTGCTAATTGGTTGTTGTGTTTGTATTTTCTCTTTAAATCATCACAATTACACACGTTAAATTCAGCTAGCCTTGTGTCAAATTTAGACATCAGAAGCAAGATATAAAGCAATGTCATACTGTCAATACCTATGTTAATTCCTAAGAATTTAAACAACTTAGTTTTAAAAGCACTTGGCTTGTAACTTTCAGAAAATTACGAGTTCTTTCCCAGTAAGAACATACAAATCTAAATGGAGAAATGATGCCCCCTAAAGTGTTCAAACCCACCACTGCTGCTAGCATATTTGGTCTGTTCTTGCTCACAACCACCCCACGCAGTACCTGCTGTCCTTAAGGTCCTGAAAACAAGAATCCACTGTTTTGATACAGAGGCCACGCTTGAAGCGGGCAAAGCGCATGTAGCTGATCACTTCGTGCTGGTGGTGCTCGTTAAGGCCCAGCTCTGCCTGCAGGTGAGGATAAAAGCACAAAGACAAGCATACACTAAGCAAAAAGGAGCATAAGTATTGTGAACACTTGCCTTCTGACTAGTTTCTGTGATTGCTTTCACAGGGTTCTCACATTAACTAGCATGTTAAGAAACAACCATATTTTCATATCTGTAATCCCGGTACACCTCACATAAGTGCTGTCCCTTTAAAACCACCAGTACTTGGAAGCAAGAGCTCAAGCGAATGGTAGCCTCAAAAAAGTCACACAAAATCTAAAACAGAGGCAATCAGAGGACCAGAACCAGAAGGCCTGTAGAGGAAGCTCTTGGATATATTTGTCTTTGTACTACATGTATATATGTATAATGTAGCTGAATGATATATCTTTTACAAATGTACTAACAAAAAAACCAAAAGCAAAACCACAGGAAAGTATGCTATGCCTCTTTGCTAGTTTATTTGTAGAATCTTGAAACTTCCCATATAATTACAGAATCATAGAATGGTTTCCCTTGGGAAGGGACCCTAAGGATCATCTAGTTCCAAATCCCCCCGTCATGGGCAGGGACACCTTCCCCTAGACCAGGTTGCTCAGAGCCCCATCCAGCCTGGCTCCAGGGATGGGGCATCCACACCTTCTCTGCCAACTTTCTCAGCCTGTCTTTGCAGGGGATGTGCTCTGGTTTTCTTGTCAACTTTGCAGCCCTCCTCTGGACTTGCTGCAACAGTTCCATGTCCTGCTTATGCTGGGGGCACCAGAACTGTGCTCAGTACTCTGGGTGGGGTCTCACAACAGCAGAGTAGAGAGGGGAACGACTTCCCTTCACCTGCTGATTGTGTTCCTTTTTATACAGAAATCTTAAGGGACAATCTGAATTTGTTTCTCAACAGCCTATTGCCCAGAAACAAATATCCCCCAGGGCAAATTAAGAAGGAAGCAATTTCAGATGTGGCTGACCAGCCCTTCTGCGTGTGCCCCTATTTCAAAGGAAGGACTGCGGGCATGGCCAATTACATTCCAATAACCATTGCTTGAGCAGGTAGCACAGTCACAAGGAGGTACAACGGGGCACGAACAGGAGCTTATCCCCGCATTGCCTGGAGAGCTGATGCAACCAAAGGTGAGTCCGTTTCCTTTACTCCGATGTCCTTGGTCAGTATGGCTGGTGCTCGGGAGGAACAGCAATCTAGCAAGTCACACAAAACAGTTAACCTGACCACCTTGTCCTCAGAAATCCACCTGTGCAGATGAGCTCCAGTGACAACGCAGTCCTGGGATACCTGGACGGACAATCAATAATCTGAGCACAGATCTCGACTGCCCGGGAATTAAAGGAGGCCCAGGAGGCAGCAACAGCAGTAAACAGAACCAGCTCTCACAGTGTGGCTGCAAGCCCGATGTTGCCCACAAAGTCCCCGCACCTGGCAACTGAGGGATCATATGGAAAGCGAAGTTAAGGTTCTCTTTGCTGTTGTTGGGTTTTTTTTTTTAGGTGAAGAGCTCCTATTCATCACAGACAGAAAGGAAACAAGACATATAAGCACAGGCCACTCGTGATCTCTAAGTCAGCCAGGCCGATACGCAGTTAAGCCACCGGGGCACCGCATCATCCCGCAAAAACCCCGAGCCCCAGGGGTCTCCGCAGGGGTGTCACGGATCACCAGGAGGGCAGGCGGCGGCCGCAGCCCCCTAGAGCGGCTCCCGCACGAGGACGTGCCGCCCCCGCTCCGGCAGGGACAGAGGGACGAGCAGGGAGCGCCGGGGGCGGCGGCAGCTCCGTCCCGTACTCACTCACCATGGTGGCGGCTCCGGCGGCGCTCGGACGGCTCCGGCTCGGCCGTTGCCATGGAGACTGAAAGCCTCGCGAGCGCCCTCGGCGTGCCCCGATTGGCGGCGGCGCGCCCACGTGACCCGCGCGGCGTGGACACGGCGCGCGCACGCTTCCCGGGAAATAAAGGAACTGGAATATTTTCGTTTGCGCTCGGAATTAGGATGTGTTCAGGACGCTCTGGGCAATATTCCGCGTCTGTTTACACCACCTAAGATTTTTTTATTTCCCCAAAGGCTTCTTTGCTAAGCACGGATTTTTGCAAAGCATTAGCGTGGAATTAATCCCGCTGAAGTCGGCAGGACAGCACAGAATGATTTGGGTTTTAAGGGATCTTAAAGATCATCTAATCCCAAGCGCCCCCTGGGCAGAAACACCTTCCACTAGACCTGGTTACTCAAAGCCCCATCGAGTCTACCACTGAACATTCCCAGGGATGGTGTCAGCGAAGTGTCACAATAAAACTCTCAAACACTGACTCTAAACTCCTGACTCCTCTCGTTTTAAGTTCTTTAACCCGACAGCCATGGTGTCGACTATTTTTTTACACGTTGTTTTCTAATCAGTAGCACTATTTGGTTTGCTCCTATGTGGAGCCATGGAGTGGACCGGCAGGTATCCAACACAGGTTACTGGAGCCCAGGGCTCACAGCAAACAAGGGAACACACTAAACAGACAGTCTTGGCACACCTCAAGGACTTCTATGAAGTTTGCTCCGTACATAAGGAAAAACATTAGGGCTTTTTGGTTTGGTGTAGGGGGGTTTATTTGTGGGCTTTTTGTTTATCTGCTACTTCATATCTCACCTGCTTGGAGCAACAAAATCCAAACTACTGCATCATTCATTTTACTAATTTATTTTCATGTTCTTCCAGTTCTGGGTTTTCTACCACTTGCCTTGCTTTGCTGCACTCAGAGACAGAATAGAAAACTCCATTCAGCAACATGGGCTAGCACAACAGAGCCCTGATTCACTCACAGATGAGTTGCAGGTAAATGACTAACAGACCGAGAAGCAGCAAGCTGGAAAAAGGCAGTTTGGAACATACCCAGGCAGGAGGCCTGCTGTACCTGGGCAGCTGTTTCATCCAGGCACTTTCTGGAGCAGAGTGGCGGCCCCGAGGGAAAACTGCCCTTCTTCCACAATTAAAGAGGAAAAAATGAGATCCATTTTCACGCCATTAGTATGCAATTTGCATTACTCAACATTATATTTGTTTTACTGACTACAGCCTTCAGTGCATTTTCATTAATTAATGGCCCTAAAAGCAGCAGTGACTAATTTAGGATTAACAGATTTTGAGTAGGCAGCTGTATTAGTGGCAAATCTAACCTCATTTCTTTGTACTTCAGATACAATCAGGAGCAACTGACATGGCTTCCATCAAAATCGAGCAGTCTGGATCAGCTCTTGAGACAGACAGGCCTGACTCCTTCCAAATCTGTCCTCAGCAAGCACCACAAGTCACAGGTGCAGCCTACATTCAACACAGGAGACTCAGGACATGTTTGCAGGACCGTGTGACTCCCAAGGGAATGGCATCCAAGTCTGGCCTCAGAATTGAAAACGACATCCATGTGGCAAACAAGGGACCTTAGAAAGTCAGACCATACGCACAAAAGGTTGTTCCTGAGCGTAAGCAGCATTACAGTTGTTGAAGGTGGCCTGAAAGACAGGGCAGGAGCTGTGCTATGCCTTGTTAGCTTGCACCTCTCTGTCCCATGCTCCATCACACAGTACATGCTGGCAGCAGCACTCCCTCAGGTTCCTCAGCAAGCTGTGCAGGAAGAGGAGTAATAGAGTATTTGTATGGGAAGAACCATCGAGATCCGAGACCAATGTTTCCGTCATCCAAATTAAAGCCGCTTCGAAGTTGCAGGAGAAGATACATTGCATTTGTGTCTGCAAACCTCCCTAACAATCTAACCTCCACTTTTTTGCCTGCATGCTTGAGAGTTCTATCAATCTCAAGAGAATTACACTATTGGCCCCACTGAACCAAATGCATTACTTCCTTGGGGAAGCCTGTTTGGATCCCTGCCTACTGTCGTGGTGCCCTAATGCAACTAAATATACAACTCAAATAACATTTGGTCCTATTGACTTAAAAAAAAAATTATTTTAACTTTCTAGGGGAGTACAGCATCCACAAGGCTTACAAAGAGCACTGAAACTGCCCTCCAAATGAAACAAAGCAGGATAAGAGGGAAGTTCAACAAAACCTGTGATGCAAGAAGAGACCCATCTTCTAACTAAAGACCTTGAAACAGTTGATCATATCCCAACTGGTGAGAAGTTCAGAAAAAATTAATTTTAGCCTGTGATCAGTGTGAATAACTCAAAGGACCACTTGTCCACACGCTGCAAGAGCGAGGAGAAAAGGCAGTTACTTGAGTGTCCTTGCAGACTGCACTGCTGCCAGTACACAGCAAGTTTCTGAGGCACCACACTGGAATGCTGCAGGAACACGCTCCCTTCACTGAGAACACCTCAGTGTCGCTGGTGTGCTGTTCATTTCTACGTGATGGCTGAGCATATTTCACATAATCCGAAGTTTTTGTCTTTGCAAAATGTTTTCTCATTTTTAATATTGTGGGAGGTTCATTAAATTTATGTCCAATCAATTGTTTTGTAGTCTTTTGGCTTTTGTATTTCTTTTACAGGCGTTTCCAAGTGTGATCATAATCCCAACCCTCGTTTATGAACCTTACTGCATACAAAGCAGTTTTTCTAAAATTTTGGATAAGAGCTTAAAAAAAAAAAAAATCTACTGCAAACACCAAGTGAGATTACCATCCAGAAGAAATTGCTTTTCAAACCTCAAATCCATGCCAGGGTTTCATTTATGCTTTTCTTCAACAGAAATCCAAGGACATGCTTGTCTCCACAAATTCACAGCCTTGTTCTTTAGAAAGCTGGTCTATACCTAACAAATAGAGAAGAGCTGTCAGCTACCATGGGCACTGCTTACCTCTGGTGGTACTTCCAGACATCCATCTCTACAAGTCTCATTGCACATAAGCCAAGCTGAGATTACTGTTACGCACTGAAGAATGACTAACAAATTATGATTACTACTGTAATGATACCACAGATGGTGCTTCTTAAGCAAAATATTACCTATAAGTAACAGAAGACCGTAGGGCTGAGTTTTCATTGCTATTTGTTAGCTAGGCACAGAGAAAGAAAATTCCTTTAGGAAAATTCTGAGACTTTTCCAAGAGCTTCTGTTTCATAGCCGCTCTCATTTCCTTTCTTTCTCATAAATACACACAGTGTGAGCTGGAAAAACAACATAGATGATGTCCATTAATTAGTTTTCCTAGACCAGACTCACGATCAACATTTTTATTGCTTTAGCGGGAAAGAGAATTTCAAGAAAAGAAAAAAATCTAATAATCTACTCAGAGAAGCCATTATCCAGTAGTATCACTGAGATGCCTCTGTAATGCATAATCCATATCAGTAACAGTGATGCCAGACTGCACTTTCCTGAATGAACTGAGAATGAACCATAAACACTCCTATGCATCTTTTTGGGGATATCTCATTACTGCAGGAGATAATGGCCAATATAGCATACATTTTTCTTTTTTTGATATTATACTAAACAGTCAGGTACAGGCTAAAACTAGGAAGAAATCATTCCCTCCCTAGGATTGTTCCTTGTAGCTTATCCTGTGTTCCCTGCAGTATAGCTTTTCTATAACAGCACTTCTGTTGGATCTGTGAAACAATATGTAATTATATGCTTTATTGTTACAATTCGAGCCTCTGGGTACTGTGTTAGTGATGAGATTTTCTTTAAGCACTAATCTTTTATAGTTCTTTCAAAAAGATTATCTTCCTCCAATTTCCACAGAGAATCTTAATAATTAAGAATATGCTGTTGATTCAAGCGGTCAGAATTGAATCATAACAAAGATTAAAGAGGGAGCATGGTTTGAGTGCAGTAACATACACATTTTTAAATTTTTTTTTCCTCTTACACTAAATTTGCCTGTGCTCTTGGACAATTCTTTGAACTGTCTTCTTTCTAGGGTATCCTAAGACACGTTTATAGATTCATAGCATCATAAAGGTTGTGAGAGACCTTTGAGATGATCCAGTCCAACCATCCACCCAGCACCGCCACTGTAACCCCTAAACCACTAAACCACTTCACCCAGGGCCGGATCCAGACACCTCGCAAACACCTCCAGGGGTGATGACTCCACCACCTCCTTGGGCAACGTGTTCCAATACCTGACCACTCCAACAGTGAAAATTCTTTTTCTGTCATCTAATCTGAATCTCCCCTGTCTTGGCTTCAGGCCATTTCCTCTCGTCCTCCCACAGCAGGCACGGCAGAAGACACCGGCCCCACCTCATCACAAGCTCCTCTCGGGTAGTTGTGGGGAGCGATGAGGTACCCCCCGAGCCTCCTCTTCTCGCAGGATTAGCAGCAAAACAGTGCTAAGGGAAGAAGCCTTAACTTGATTTTTTTTTTTTCTCATTTTTAACCTTCAGCAACCAACCTGACTAAACTGTACTGACACAATCCCAGACTGCGCTTTGGGCTGCCATTAACCTGCACGGCCTGTAGGTTGGACTCGCCGATCTCGGACGTCTTTTCCGACCTGACCAACTCACGGATTCCGTGACCCCACGCTGCCAGGGCGGTGAGGGGCGGGCGGAGGGCGGTGCCGCCCGCCATTCCCGCCCTGCCGGGGCCGGGCGGTGCGGAAGCGCAGGCGGCTGGGGCTGCGTCCCTGCCGGACCCCGGGAGGCGGAGCGACAGCCCGGGCACGGCGGCATCCTCTGGCGCGGCCATCGCCGGGCTGCTCCATGGAGAAGCGGGGCCCGGTGCTGCACATCGTGGTGGTGGGCTTCCACCACAAGAAGGGCTGCCAGGTGAGTGAGGGGGCGCCTCTCCCCCGCGCTCCTTCCTCCCGGCCCTCCCCCGCGCCGAGCGGCGCCCGCCCGGCTGCTGGAGCCCCTGCGGGAGGGGCGCGTCTGGCGGGGCCGGGGGGGCTTCGCTGCGGCTCAGGGGGCGGTACAGGAGGGGTTGGACTCCGGCGGGGGGTTCCCTCGGCCGGGCTGGGGCTGCCTGGCTGGGCCCGCCCCGGGCAGTTCGTGCTTATGGAGCTGCGTCCGTGCCCGCCCCCGCCCCGCCTCGGCGCTCCCGCCGGGAGAGAGAGCCCTCCCCGCCGGGCCCCCTGTTCTCCCGTGACTGCGGGAAGCGTGCTTAATGCACTCGGGCAGTTCTGAGACAACAAGCAAACAAACAAATGGTGTTTTAGTCTGCCTTCCTGTCTTCCTGCCGGCTCAGCCCGGCAGCGCCGCGCTGAGCGCTCAGAGATGCGTCTTGTGTCAAACAACCCCCAGGGTGCAAGTCCACCCTGGGTTTAAGTTTTCTTTGCTTTTCTCATCCCCTCTTTCATAAATGCTTGACTGCTTCATGTGGCCTGTAAGGTAGAAAGATTTTATGTTATGTGTTTCACAGGTATTTTATGCTCTTATTTTATTTTCCTTAACCCTTGAAGCAGGAGATGCAGTTGCCCATCTGGCCTGCACATGCAATTGCTTTGCTGTGACAAGAGCAGATGGATATAATGTTGGATTTCCAGTGAGTGTTTTTCCATGGAGCACTCTTAGTCTTAGTTTTTACCAAAATTGCCAAAACACTAATGAATGTGATGGTTATTGTTATACGAGAGTTGATCTGACACAAACACATTCCATACAAGGTAGCTGAGAAATCAATGCTTCGGTAAACAAAACAAGCGTAGCATGGAAACGTGTAACAATTCCTCATGCCAGCAGAGGCTGGAGTGCAGTAACTCATAGGATATGTTCTTCAATCCCTGTTTCTGAAAGATGTGCATGGTTTTGTAATGCATCCCTTCTCCTCAGGGTGTCTGGGGGCTGCTCGCATATGGATGTTCACAGGATCAGTTCCTGTGAAGTAATTAGATCATCAAGTATGCAAGATCTGTGATATTTATCAGACTTCCTTGTCAAAGGCTGTTAGCGGATGAGCGTTTACTTAGTGTCTGTAGGAACTTTTTGTTGGCCTCTTGGAAAAGGCCTATGCTGGATACAAAAGCAGGTATGGCTTTTGTTGTTTCTGTTCTCCTTTGGGGGCCTGTATTTCTTTTATTGTACATTAGGCAGTGTTGATGCAAAGAGAAAAAAAGGAAAAAAAACCCCACAAATGAAAACAAACAACCCTTCAAACTATAAATTAGTAGCAGTGAATTTTATTTTGTTTCTAGTAAAATGTTTGTATAACTATGTTTTGGGATGTTGTCAAAAATTGGGTTGGAACACCTCTGAACCAAAGTTTTCTCTAGGTATCTCAAGGAATTACCTGGAGAAGTTGGAGAGGATGGCACTTAAAGAAGGGGACAGGGTAGCTGTGTCACAGGAAGAACTGCAGGAATGGAATGACAGACTTCCTAGGGGAAATCTAACCAGAAATCTGATGTTAAATATATTCTGCCTCTGACTTGGCAGATTTGTTACTGAACCACAGAAAACATTTCCTGAAAGCACTGGAGACAGGGAGCTGCACAGCTATAGCCTAATGAGTTTGACATCAGTAATATGCAAGACTCTAGAGAATTTTTGAAGGAAAGAATTAATTAATAACATGACACTAAGTAGACTGAGTCCTGTGTGCATTTGCTAAAGATAGATCGTGCCTGACTGACCTGCATCTTTTGTAAGAATAAATAATTGAATTCTTTTATCCGTGAAAGAAACGGAGTAACTCTCATCTGCCAGGGACTTGATAACAGATCACCTTTTTTTTTAAGGTGGAGATACTGGAGAATTAGTGCAAGAGCTGGTACTTGAGTAAAGTATAGCATGGAGAAGAGGAAGCAGAATAGATTTGAGTCAGAAGAGGAACTATTAGCTTGAAAGGTGCTTGCACGGGGTGTTTCTCAGGACTGAAAGTGGCACTGGTATTGTTTACATGATAAAATTGAAGTATGATGAGCAAACCTGAGGAAATTATAAAACCTGAGGAAACTATAAAACCTATTATAAAGGAAGACTGAAATGTTGTGCAAGAACTGGATGATAAGGAATGCTAGAGCACTGGAAATAGGGTGCAGTAGGAATGAATAATAACAGCATAAGCTTAGGAATTGACACGAGAAAACTTCTGGAAAAGAGACCACATATGATCAAGGATAAGTCACAAAAGTGATGTGATTTGAGGGAAAAGAGTGACAATGAATGTAGTCCTGTCATGTAATAATATGTTTATTGATGCGTACAAATTCTGATCCACCTTTCAGAACAATGGATGTGGATCCTCTCTGTCACTTCTAGGATTGGATGAAATAGTCCTTGAGCCACCTGTATTTGAGAAGAATATAGAAGAGTAGGGGGTAGGCTAACAAAATAGATTTAGAGGCTGTATTCACCTCCATGAATACAGGAACATTCTTCTCTTTTCCTCTCTTGCCTCTTCACAACTGGAGAACAGAGGCAGTTGTTTGGTAAGCTGAAATGGGGAACTGAGGTGACCAAAAGTAAGCCTTGTTTTGGTGGGTTGCATCTGAGGTGGTAGGTTCACAGGTTCTGTGAGTGACAGAAGACAGGTAGACTGGCAAGGGGTTAGAAAAGAGTCTCTTGAAAGTGGCAGTCTGGGACTTCTTTTTCATTGTTATGTCTAGAATCATAGAATGGTTTGGATTGTAAGGTTCCTTAAATATCATCTAGTTCCAGCCCCCCTTCTGCGGGCAGAGACACCTTCCACTAGACCAGGTTGCTCAATGCCCTGTCCAGCCTGGCCTTAAGCATTGCCAGGGATGGAGGCATCCACAACTTCTGTGGGCAACCTGTTTCAGTGCCTCACCACCCTCACAGAAAAGAATTTCTTCTGTATATCTGTCATCAATTTCTCCTTTTCAGTTTGAACCCATTTACTCCTCGTCCTGTCACTGCAATTCTTGATGAAGATTTCCTCTCCAGCTTCCCTGTAGATCCCCTTCAGATACTGGAAGGTTGCTGTGAGGTCTCCACACAACCTTTTATTCTCCAGGCTGAACAGCCCCAGCTTTCTCACCCTGTCTTCGTAGAGGAGGGGCTCCAGTCTCTTTGTCAACGTCGTGACCTTCCTCTGGACTTGCTCCAACAGTTCCATGTCTTTCTTATGTTGAGGACACCAGAACTGTGTGCAGGCAGTACTCTGGGTAGGGGTCTCATGAGAGCAGAGTAGAGAGGCAGAATCACCTCCTTTGCCCTGCTGGCCATGCTCCTTTTGATGCAGCCCAGGATGCAGTCGGCATTCTGGGCTGTGAGTGCACACTGCTGGTGCATGTTGAGGTTTTCATCAACCGTCATCCCCGAGCCCTTCTCTGCAGGGCTGCTCACTTTGGCCTTTGAAGTATTGATAATGACCTTTGAAGTATTCACTGAAACACTGCATTATATCCAGTTGTATTCCAAGAGACTGTTGGAAAGAGAAAAATGAGGAGGAAAAACCAGCCGATTTGTCTAAACGACCGTGTTGGTGCAAGAGCGAGTGGGTACGAACCGTCTGCGGGTGTGCTGCAGACTGCCTGTGTGAAACTGTGAGGTGCAGAACAGCACAGGTCCACAGCAGTGCTCGAACGGGCATCATTCAGAGCGAATGTGGGGAGCTCTAGGTAGAGAGACCATAGAGCCAGCCTGCCTGTCCTAGCAGGAACTGACCTAGTTTGCCTGAGAAGGCTCCTTTCAGTTTCTATTTCCATCTCCTTTTCTCTGTGGTCTTACTAGGAAATGCATGTTGAGTTAGGATTTTTGACAGATTTCTTGATGCTAGGTCTTCCATTAGCTGACTTTCCCTCTTCCATTAGCTCACATTCCCTGAAATGTGCAGCTCTTCCTGTTACTTAGTTTAGAGGATAAGAAACATTTAACCTACAGAGAAAAGACCTTGATATACAGTTTGGAAATGTGTCTTTTTCTTCCACAGACTTGAAAAACAATCCATGTACATTTTTTTCTGAAAGAGAAGGAGAGTCAGGGAATCTGTCTGTTTCTGTGAGCCTTTGGATTGAGAACACCAATGTCACGATTGTTCCACATGCTCTTTCCAAGGGCCTTCTGTTGTACTGGGGGTCTTTTTGCCGAAATGTAAGAGACAAAGTGAAGTTTTACCATGTGTGCATTGTTTAGTCTGGGGATACAGTTTCCCGGGAAATCATTAAAAGCTTGGAGTTGCCATGCACTGTCATGAGGGCTTTATGCTGTCTGAAAGCAGCACTAAAACTCCTGAACACACTGGGAGGAGTTTTCTCTAGCAAGTGTGGAGGAAGCTTTTGGAGAGGCTGCAAGCTTTTGTTTGTTTACACGCACAGGTTGCCATCCTGCTTCTTTGAGCCTCTTAGTTACTGAGCTGGACTGTGAATCCCACAAGATATTCAGAAAGTGCTGATTACTGTCTCTATTTGCCAAGGATTAGAGGGAGTTATGGCAGAGAGCTCAGAGAATGGGAGGAGAAACTTGGCTGCAAACTATTAGGTCCACCTAGTATTTGACATGCTTTCAACAGGTCCATTAAGGAAGGGAATGACAAATGGCAGGAAGCAGGCGCTGTGACTGGTTTCTTGCCTTTGTACTGACTGGCTGACTTGTTATGGGAACCCTCCACAGTGAGTCA